GGATTCTTAATTCTCTGCTAGAGTCACCACATCTTTTGAGAGCCGCAGTGATGTCATTCACCTCCAGCCCTGCTGCTTTAGAAGTTATTATCTCATCCTCTTCATGTTTTCTTTCTTTCAGGCTTCACTCAGAGTTGCATAAAGTGAGTGTTTTTAAGAAGTATTTGACAGAATACAAGGCATTGCAGGATACCATTATATGGAATATAGCAGTGACATTAGCACTGAACACTGGCTGTGTGCTTCATTCTTAGCAATCAATGTAGCACAACACAAGTAAATTGAAAACTGTTTAAAAAGAGACAATCATCTTATTATTATAAAAAAAAAAAAAATGTCTAGTTTAGAAACTTTAGATGGCGTGTTAAATAATACAGTGACAATAGTGCTAATGCACAGAATATGAAAGCAGTGTAACAAAGTATGGACTGAGGTCAGATTGTGTGCTGTCCACATGCAGCTCGATTGCCTGTGCAAACTTCATCCAAGTGTGTGTCTATATTCAAAATGTTATTTTTTGTTTGTTTTGAATAGAGTAGAGAAGCATTAGAACTCTCTCTATTGTTCTAGTGACCATTACTATGACACAGAAAGTTATGGGAGATTCAGTCTTTGTCACCAAAACAAGAAATGCAGACACTTGATCTAGTGACAACTGCCAAAAAGGGGAATTCCCCCTTGCTTTGTACATATTTACCTCTTGTGTCTCTGGAGCAGGAAGTGAAGGGAAATCTCTCAATCGTACACAGACACCAAAAAAATAAACATACAAGAAATTTAGCCCTTCCCTACTCTACGTTTTGGCTTTAAAAGCAGTTCCAGTCAATGGATGTGCTGCTAAAGTTATGTTTAGTATCCAATGGTTAAGTCCACAGGATGGAATTAAGAAAGGGACTCCATCAGAAACTAAATGGCAGTGTAAGGTGGAAAGTGCTTTAGACTGCTATTCATGAGGTTATCCCAAGAGAGAATTACCGATTGCTGCAATGTCCATAATCTAAAATAAAGGACAGATCTAGTAGTTATTACAAGTACCTTGTAATGGATACAGAATTAAGGCAGGGATGATGATCAGGATATGGCAAATCTGATGGAATTTTGTAAAGCTGCCCAATCAAAGCAGATGAGACATATAAGAAGTTGAGGGTTACTTAGCCCACTGAGGTCTATCTAAAAACTAAAATAAAAGTTTTGATTGGATTGACACTTAAAGGTTTATTCAAAGATATACAACGGCAAAGGGATAAATGTAGCTACCCTAAGCAACCTCCCAAAATAAATATTTCAGTAATCTGACTTCAGTAAAAAGAAATTTAGTTATAAGGGTTTGCTGCATTTTGATGTTAGTTTTGTCTTTTGTGCTGCTTTACTGAATAAGTCCATGTTTTTATGGCATGCCCTTCCAAACCAAGTATGAGATGTATGAAACATGTTTTGTTTCTCTGTAAAGTTTGTTATGTATCAATTCAGGCTTGAAATTTATTTAGATGCCCATTAAGATGTAGACTTTATCTTTATAGGTAAAATGTCTGAAATCCAGTAACAGAACAGGGAATGCAATGCCAGTTTGTGACCTAGAAGAAAAACAATAATATAATGTCAACTATTGTCCTAAAATCACTTACTTAAAAAAAAATCACATTAGACAGGAACATTGTTGTTTACATTTACGCAGTTTTAAACATTTTATGCTGTGTGCTGCCTTAATAAAAAAATGCAGAAACAAAATTCAAATTTGTGACAGCTGGACAGTCTGTTACTGTCTAAAGATAGATAGTGCAGCAGTTTCGGCTTTAAAGGGACCTTAAACAGGTATAAGACACAGTTGTCCCACTAAATGGGAATAATTGTAGCTAGTCAGTGCTCTTTCTCAGGAGAGAGATTTCTGCAGAAGCAAACCGTGTGTAGACAGACATTCAAGGAGCGTGTGTCCAGACCTGTCTGGCCTTATAGATAGGCACTCTAACCAGGCTGATGGGTGAGGAAATATTTAGTATGTGCTGAAGCACATAGCCAGAAGGCGGAAAGTTTGCCTTGTACCTTTGTATTACTGAGAACCACTGCAGGGGCAAACCGTGTGTAAAAGTACTTTTGTTGACAAATATAAGTGGGCAGAAGCCCTAAAACTTTGTTTTCTAAAATTACTAAATTCTTGAAAAGCGGTTTATTTGGAGTTACACACCATCCAGCTAGACAGCAGAACCAGACCGGTGCCCTGAGATTTGTCTATGCAGTAAAGTAATACAGCTAATTCTTGTCCCTTCCCCAACCTGTGACTGGACAGTGATGGAGAAGCAGACTGATTACCTCTTTTCTGCCCTTTTCTGCTGTCAGCATATACGCTCTGTGGCACAACTAATTGCCTTCTTCATTCATGCAGTGACATTTTATTCAGAAGAGCACTACTGTACAGCTTGGTTGTGAAAGCTCCTGGCTACCATAGTGGAGACAAACAGTCATATATAAATGAAATGTTACCCGACATTTCCTAAATGTACCAGAGACAAGATGCATACAATGCCCCTAGGAGGAATTCCACTTCATCCCAAAGGTGTTCAGTAGGGTTGATGTCAGGGCTCTGAGCAGATTAGAGACCCAGAGACCCAATGCTGTCAGACTGTGTCTAACCATCATAGCCAGGACTCTTTAAATCATAGCCTGATCATATAGTTAACCCTTTATTTGATTATAATTGTGTTTGTTATTGAATTTATTATTGAGTTTGTACCCGTTATTGAACACTGCCTTAACTAAACCTTTCCTTATTGGGATTTTGTTTTTCTTTATTAAATCCCACTTTATGCTACAGGTGTGTCAATGAATCTGGGTTCAGTTCAGAGTGGGTCACCACTGAGGGACAACAGAAGGATTTATTCATTCATCAGCCCCTAAAGAGGCATTGCTACTTTACCCAGGGGTATCCATACCTCTTGGTGATATGGGAACCAAAGTCTGGGCAAGGGGGTATTGTGAGATATTGGGCAATCAGTTGGAGGTCTGTAATCATAAAAACGTTTAGAAGCCCTGGCTTAAACAATTTATTAGCATTTGTGGAGGTTGATACAACTAGTGCAATTTACCAGCATCCACCTCTCTTTAACTGTGTATCAGGAACAAAAGTATGGTTCAATTATTTCAATATGTCACAAAGTTCTGCTCCATTTAATTAGATTGGATAATCAACATCTGCCTTGACAAATTCAACGGTGGCTGTACTCTGCACAATTTGCTTCAAATGGAGTTAGGAGCAGGGGGGTCATGGGGGCTCTAAGAGTTCCCTTACAAATATTAGCACTTACATTTGTCAACCTTGCTCATACGTATTTCTGGTAGCTTTTCAAATAAAAATGAAGCATAAGCCCATCTTACACAGGCAGTAAGATGCAGAAAGTTTGGTTTATTAGACATACCCTTTATTGGCTGACTTAAGTTATTAAAGATGCAAATGGTCAGGATGATTTAGATCCCTTCTTCAAGCTCCATACAAATTTCTATTCTTTACCCTACTACTATAGGCATTATAATGAACACAACTAATGTACTAAAATATGGGTTGTGCCTTGCTTTGAGAAGATGCCAGGAATGTTCAATATCCATCAGTTGTATACACCTTGTGCTTTATACACTGGTTCTCTGCCAATTCCCTTCTCTGCAGAATTCTCTTATAGTTTAATCTTTTAAAAGAGCAGAATATTTAACACCATTAGGTTTGATCTGTATTGCTTCTCTTGGAAAGTGAATAGGGTTAAAGTGACATTAAAGTCAAAAATATTTTCCCTCCCCCAATGTTAATTAAAACACTTACCTTAAATGATGTCTCTTAACCCTTTCGCTGTTTAACGATCCCCCACTCGGCCACGCTACAGAGCCAATCACTATGCCGCTCGGCCATCCTGAATTGCGGCCAGCCGCCGCTTGCTCCCCCGACCCTCTCGCCGGTGATTTTATTACACTTCCCCGCTGCCACAGACCCTACAAGCGGGGGACAGCAGCGGGGATATGAACTGTGAACTGTGAACTGCGCATGCGCCCGCCCCAAGATGAGATGCTTTGCAGCCGCCCGAGAATTTTCACGTTTTTGGACGGGAGCGCGCAGGGACTTTTTACACTTTTTACATATATCTAGTGCTTTCTTGCAGTAGATAGGCAGTCTTTGGTACTACCAAATGATTTTTTTGTAACAAAACACCCACAGCGTTCAAACAACTCAAGGAGTTTTTTGGTGGCAGGGCAGAATGCAAGTCATGTGAGGCAGAAACAGCTTGTAAGACAGTTGCTGTGGTAAGCTAGCATTCATCATACCACCAGTTTTGGCAATGTTGTTCTAAAGTGGTTCTCATGTGCAGTCCTTGCTCCCCCCCCCCAATCATGTATAATGAATACAGAGCTGCAATAATTACTGTTTGTGTAGGTCCTCAGATTAAAAGGGTTAAGAACCCGAGCTAAAGGAACACTCTCTACACAGCAGAAAGTGTGAGACTCCATCGGGGTAAGAGCTTTGGAACTCAGGGGGTCATACAGTATCTTGATCTTGGATGTAAGAAACCAATGGGCGAGTCATTTCACTAAAGTTCACCTAATGCAGAGATATTACTTTAAGGTAAATTGATCATGTTTAGATTCAAGGCCTTGTATGGGGAAATATATAATATATATAAATACAGTATATATTTTTTTGGGGTGGAAATTCAGTAGTATAATGTATTATACATGACTAATGCTTTATGTATGTGCAGGAGATTTAAATTATAGAAATGACATATTTATTCAATGTCCAGCTGAACAACATCAAAGTTCTCACCTCCCATGCTTGAAAATTACATTGAAACATGCATTTACAACATATTTATGTATCCGGTACCTATATTCATAATTTACCTGGTCTATACTTTTAATTCCAAGACATATAAAGAAATATACAGCACCTCTGGCATAAGCCGATAAGCAAAAAGCAGTTCACCCATGTCAGTGAATTATACAAAACAGTTAAAAATACATACCAAGAGGCATGGAGGAATGTTCTTTGAAGCTGCCCAATGAATCTTTTAATCTTTCAATATCCTGCACAAGAAGCAGACTCTTGAGGTGATGTAAGAGGCACAGTTCAGAGAAAGGAACTGCTCCATTCTTGATCTGATTCATTATTTCCAGCACCAGTTCAATGGACAGAGCAGAATCTGCGCAAGGTGATTTGCCTAAGGGAAGTGAAGGTTACATATTCTAATAAACATTGAAGAATGCTCTCAAAAAAGTTTATATAAGAATATAATTATATGAAAAACTTGTCATGAGACAAAAATAAAGGCTCCCATTTCTGACTTTCTTCTGAAAATACTCATTGTCATGCTGCCCACCTGCTTGAATATTTTCTGAATCAATAACACTGAACAAGTATGCCGAAAAGGAGTTCTGACTTCACTTACTGCATGCTTGTTCCACGACACTAATATAAATCATTAAAACCGTTTGCCAGGTGACTAGAATTTTCAGGAGATGGCCAGAAAATGTCTCTCGTGACATATTTCTTTATGTAGATCTCCTTATCATCTGTTGTTTTAATTAATGTGTACTTGGATACCTACTATTCTTGTGCATATACCTATAACCATGTGAATTTTCAGTTATTTGTATGACACACCCAATGAAGAGGAAGGAGTATTCTCAACTTGAGATAAGGTCACCTGATAATTCCCACTGTTCTGCATCAAACAGTACTCTGCAGCACATAATTAACTAGAGATGAATGAGTTAATCAAACAATAAAACCAAAAAGGTTTTTATTAAATAAATGAACCAATGTTACGCCGTAGGAATTGCATGAGAAACTCTTCCATGATTCCAAAGTCCAGTAAGTACTATTAAGGGTCTCTTTTATAATCAACCATTCTGCAGCTAATGAACTTGCTGCAGCTCTTTTTTTGTGCAGGGTGACTGGTCTTGTATTCGCCACTCCTGTAGTTTTCCACAGGCGGTCTGTAGTGGTTTCAAATGGATGGCCCCTCCCTCGGCTCTGCTCTCTGCACAGGCTCCCAAAGCCCCTTCCAATGGTCTGCAGCTTTGATGGTGTCACTGCTACTTTTAGAAGGTAATAACCATGTTTGCAAAGGCATTTGGTGCACACAAAATGGATCAATATATCTTGTGGCTATTGCGGAATAGATTTAAAGTTTTTGTGCCTGGAGTTCATCATGTCCAGTGGTTTTCACAAATGAGAGCCCTCTCTTCCTGCAGAACTCATCCACTGCTGTAGTGATATCAGCCCTATCAGTTGTCAGTCAGTATATTTAAGCTGGCCGTACATGGTTATACATTTTTTGTTCAATCTGCAAGCTGAACAAAAACAATATTAAAAGAGAACTATCCCCCATAGTTCTCTTAAGGGTTGCAGGATGACATATACTAGCATCCTCCCATGACCCAAAGCTCAGTATTGCTAGCTACAGCTCGCGGTATACTGAGACCGATGCAGCCGGGACGGTTCCTGACACTGCTGTCGAGATCCACCCAGCTGCGTGAATGACAGCTGGCTCTGCCTATCTAGAGGCTGTGCCCGCCCCCTCCCCCGTCCGTTACTCCAGTCAGCGCTGCAGGATCGAATCGGGGGTCACAGCTCTCTGCAGGGAGATGATCGAGAAGTGAGCAAGCGACGGTATGCATTTGCTCACTTCCCGATCTATTGATCCGATGTGTGACAGTTTCATTGTCACACCTCGGTTCGAACTAGGAGGATGAGTGATTTTCACTCACATCGTCTTCTTTAAAGATTTCTCCATCCACGTTGTTTTAATGGGTATGCCGCGGTCACATTACCTGAAAAGTGACATCAGCTGATTGTCTGCCGTCGCTGTTCACCTGAAAATTCTTCCGACTGGCTCCTTCGATTATCTGATCAAAGTATGCCAGACAGAAGGGTACCGACAGGGCCACCCACTGAACTAATTTTGCTCGGTTTATCAAGAACCAGTGGAAATTCGCACAGTGTATGGCCAGCTTTAGTTTTCTAGGCTACTATACCTGAAAGAAGGCAACAATATTCAGACAGATTTGCAGAACAGAATCCTGCGGATAGCCTATGGGGCAGATAATCCATTATTCACTCATCTCTACTAAGAGCTACAAGTCAGCCCAAAATATAACATTTACCAGAAATATTTAATAGTGCTTTTGTAAAATACAGAAAGGCAATTTATGTGTCAGCACCATTTATCCAGTATACCCTCTTGCAGAGTTGGAAAGAAAGGTGGTCTACCTATGGTTAATAAAAAAACCCAATAATCAACACTTTAAATAACTGCAGTCCAATTAACAAAGCTATTGTTTTAAATGGAAAATATAGTATTTTGTTAGTGAGCACAGGCTCACTTCAAGTTTAAATATAGCAATTCTTCACTTCAAGTTTAAATATAGCTGCAGTACATATAATTATTTCAAACATTGTGTATTTGATCAGGGAGTTATAGTGAAACAAAACATACTTTCAGTGAAGTACATCTCTTGAGTTGCTTGTAGGAAATCTAGCAAGTCCTGTGTTTTCTTCAGCGCTTCCTCACTTTGTGCAGAAGACTGCTCCGGTGTGTCAGTGTCCACCATCTGATCTGATCCAGCCTTCTTCTTTGGCCAAAGACCGGCTGCTTTCAACCTTTCTTTCTGCCTCTTTCTTTGCAGTTTCCTCCTTTTATTTTTATTAATGAACACACCTTCAGATTCTAGAGGTTGATGGTCTGTTGGTTGCTGGTTGAATATTCTGTCAGGGGAAGAACAGGATGTAATATTTTCTTTTTTCCTCCGCTTGCGCCTTTTTCGCCTTTTCATTGGCTGGTCTAAAAACCAATGCAATTATAATATTTATATTATTTAGATAGTGTTATGTTTTTGTTTTTTTTGTTCATTATGGTAAAATTTAATGGCAATATTAAAAAAGTAATTTTAATTAGCAATTTAAGCCTCATTCAGATAGGCAAATGAGAATGGATAGGCTGGTGCTTCTGATGCGGCTAAACGCAGAACTCTGTGCTATGGCCGCTTACAAACTAGACTACATGTATTGGACTGGGTGGATTTGCTGCATCTAATTTGATGAATGGTTACATGTGAACGGCACCATTGCCTTCCATTCATTAGTACAGAGTACAAACCTAGACTACACCACTGCTGTTCGCAGACACATAGGGGAATTCCATATCGCATTTGCACGAGAAATGTCTGCGCCAAATTCTCTTACCAAATTCTTATTTGCTTACTATACTTCATTCTTGTGCTGTGCTTGAGACATATTCAATAAATAATCTCTCACAGTTTGGTAATAAGGAAAGTGATGCAAAGTAAGACCGAGTACTTTTTCGTGTAACTACTTTGTCGCACGTTCATATTGTATATGTCTGCCGAATTATGCAACACATACCTTAGGTACGACATTCCTTAAAACTGAGGATCCAACTGAAATCTGTCTCAGACACATATGCAACACTTTGGGACAGAGATGAGGCACATCTTTATCAGTGTGCATATATCTATCCCAAAATTTGTCTCACAAGCCAGCGCCAGTTTCAAAGGTTTGCACCAAATTCAGGAATGATATTCAGCCTTGTACATGAATTTGACACAATTAATGACGCTGTTCCTGTAACCCTGAAATACTTTTCTTTTGTGTCCCAATGACACTCTTTTTGAATTCCCTTGACTGTGTGCATGGGTCGGTCGGCAGCCACCGGTGTAAATGGACCTGTAATATTTAGAGCAGTTATGACCGATAGCCAGGCATGTTAGTAAAATAAAAGTTTTTATTTCTCTCAAAATGCCCCTACAGAAACAGCTTTGCTTCAGCAAACACAACAAATGAACAAAAACTCCTCTCCAATATAAAAGAAGATCCAGTTTACCGCCTGCATACATATGTCCCGTCTCAGGGTTAGCGTCCCGGCCTGGTCTCAGAGGGCCAATCACAGACACCAATGCCCAGCAGCTTCTCAGTAGCAGACAGTCCACAGCTCCACACAACCATGTCCTGCTCCAAACACACCTCACAGAACACTGCAGGCTGGCTTCCTGTGCACTTTGAGCAATGCCGCCAGGTGGGTTAACCCTTACCAAGCCCCAATGTCTCTAGCCAGAGTGTGAGGCTCTTTCCCACTCAAAATCTCTCCGAGCCTCCGAATTCCGGGTCCCATTTCAGGATTACCAATCATGGGAAAACTGTATAGCAGTTTCCCTTCTAAAAACTCACCCCGGAAACCCTCACCCTGCAACGGTGATACCTTCTGACAAAACTTATATATTTTTTCTCATTCCCTTAAGGGGGCCATGACCTAAATAACGGGGAAATATTAACGTCCGTCCAGGACGCATTCCTGGCGTCCTCTACAGGGCCCTAAAGCAAATATGTTGCCGAGTTAAAAATAAAAAAAAAGCCAAGAAAACCATAGTCAAAGCATGAAAATCTCATCCTGTTGATAGCTGAGCCCAAATCTAGAGTTAATCAGGCCATGCTCCATGAGCAAATAGAGGCAAGGTTGGCAGGCCGTACGCACAAATTCAACTCTATCTGGTATCCCTAGACTGAAATTTTTTTACCTTCAGGGTTTGATATAGGACCCTATTTTTGTAGTCTTTGAGGTGGCAGTGGCAGCACGCAGTTCTTTACTTTAGCCCTTTCCCCCACCTGCCCTCATCCCTTTGCTACTTCTTTTTGTCTTCTTTCTCCTTCCCTCTAGATCAGTGACTTTGTTTCGTAAATTTTCCATTGGATAGTTCTATGTTACAGCATTTGTACTGCCTGCTGGAAAATATACAAATTTCTATTGTACACCTTCGATCCTATGTAACCGAAAATACTTTTGTTGCTCACTCCATTGTCATGTAACCTGGATCGCTGTTTCTGTTACATTTTTTACTACAAATTTTTTTTGGGGGAAAAAAGGACCATCTGCAAAAGAAGAGGGTGTATACTCACTTGTTTAGGGCTGCAACCAACGGATCGAGTAATCGATAATAATCAATTATGAGAATAGTTGTCAACTATTCTCATTATCGATTAGTTGGTTGGTCCCCTGGTTCTCTCCTCCATGCTGGGAGGAGGGCACAGCAAGCAGTGAGTGGGTGCAATAGCCATTGCAATTTAAAATGGCCAATAGCAGGCTAGCTATTGCACCAGCCCTCTACCTGCTGTATTTACATTCAGCTGCTGTCTGCAGAATCTTGCCACTGGAATCTGTAATTTCGTAGCTGAAGCTATTCAAGCGCCATGTGCTTACAATACAATTATTAAATTGTTTTTTTATAAAAGATGTAAAGAAAAAGTAATTTTTGGTTTCGGTCTGACAAATACTGCTGCGGGAGGTGTGTTGCAGTGCCATCCATTTCAATGGCACCCCAAAGCGCCTCCCACCCACAGTGTGATTGCCCGCACTGGAATGCACGGTACCGCAATGCCGTGCGTTCCAGTGCAGTGCGATTGCAAAAAAGTGGGCATGCAGTTTTATTCTGAAGTAAACTTTGTTTGTAACACTGTATTTGTGTATTTTATTTGAAATTAGGGATAGTATTTATCTTTTTTTTCTGATCAAAAAAAATATTCAGCCAACTAACAATTATGTAAAAGAATCATTAGTTGTAGCCCTACACTTGTCATTTGTCCCACTGCCAGTTCCTACAATCTTCACTGTCTTGCAGATAAATAGCCTCCTCACATCTGACACACTTCCGTATATGTTCCTGGTGGAAACCTGGCCCCCTGCTAAACGCTGTGGTTCCTCCCTCTGGTTGCTACATCACTACAAGTACCAGTAGTGACATAAAAGACAGCGGACAGAACCACAGAGTGAGGCCATATGATATTCCTGAAAGTGTTGGACATGAAGATTCTGGCAGAGGCCATAGCTCTGAAACAAGGTAAAGATCTAAGGAACAGCACAGGTGAGTATCAACCCTCTTATTTCACAGGTGGTGCTTTTTTACAATTTACATTCACTCATACTATATCATAATATTCACTCATTGACAGAAGGTCCCGTAGCATAAAGGTTTGGTGTCATTTGTCACCATTCGGCACAAACAAAATGGCTGACCCTGTCAAATTTAGCTCCCCTGTGACCTATCCTTGTGGTATAAAAAGCTTGTATCTGACACACAGCAGCAAGTTCCAAAGTTTATTGAAATTCCATACAACAGCTCACATGGTAAGATAGCCAACGCATTTCAGCCACCAAGGGCCTTAAGCCCTAGGCAGCTGAGATGCATTAGCGATGTATGGAATTTCAATAAATGTTGAACTTGCAGCTGTGTGTCAGATACAGGTTCTTTATACTCTAGACGGAGGCCCTACTCTGCACCAGCGATTCCTGGACTTTCAACTGTGCATTGAGGTTGAGCAGGTACACTTTTTTTTCTCCTATCCTTATTGTGCCGCTATGGTGACATGCAAACAGTAGATAGGTACAGTTTTGTTACTATATTATGGTGCTAAAGGATTATTGACTTAATCCAAACTGCACTGCCCTTCTACGGACAGGTGGGAACTATACCATTCACTTCAATGATTTTTACATTTTGGTCCGTTTTGTAGTGCGTTCATCGAGCGTAGGACGCACTACAAAACGGTCAGGTGTGAACCAGCACTTAAAGTATATGCAAATAAGAGTATAGATGATGTCATATGGTCTTCACTGGTGACTGATTGTCTGCGACATCCCAGGTAAGGGAATCACTTATTATTATTATACAGGATTGATATAGCGCCAACAGTTTGCGCAGCGCTTTACAATATAAGGAAGACATTATAATCACAATACAATTCAAGCCGGTAAGGAGGGCCCTGCCCCTGAGGGCTTACAATCTTTAAGGGAGGGGCAAGTGATGCATGAGAAAGTAGCTGTATGGGGATGAATTGTTTGAGAACGTAATGGTTCAGTGGTTAGGTTGAAGCAGACTGGGCCGGGGGGCAAATGCCCCCGGGCCTCTCTGATGACTGTAAAAACGGCCCCCGCCGCATCGGTAATCACTCGTTTTTACCTCTCCCCTCTCGGGCCGCGGCTGAGAGGGGAAAAATAAAAGAAGTGTTTCACGCTGCAGCGGCGCGGGCCGTTTTTAAAGGCGGGAAATAATCATTTGATGCCCGTGCAGCGATCGGGCTCCTCGGCAACGACAGCCACGGACGGCAGCTCCGCCCCCCTTTCAGCTTCTATAGGCTGGGAGGGAGGCTGCACCCGATTGGCTGGCAGGATAGGTATGCTGAGCGGGACCTAAAGCCAGGAGACAGCATGAGGTGGCTGAAAGTATTGCCTCAGAAGATGCAGGCAACTTCACTGCCCCCCCCAGGAGAGGAAGAGAAGAGGGCACAGCGCCTGAAGGAGGAAGGAAAAGTGCCACTGTAAGTACCTGTTCTTTCTGCGTGACCTCTGCACTGCGTACATGCTGACCTCTACATTACACCGCCGGCCTCTGTACTGCGTACATACTGACCTCTACATTACAGCGCCGGTCTCTGCACTGCGTACATACTGACCTCCGACCTCTACATTACACCGCCGCCCTCTGCACTGCGTACATACTGAACTCCGACCTCACACATTACACCGCTGGCCTCTGCACTGCATACATCACATTACACCGCTGGCCTCTGCACTGCATACATGCTGACCTCTACATTACACCGCTGGCCTCTGCACTGCATACATGCTGACCTCTACATTACACCGCTGGCCTCTGCACTGTGCGTCCTACCACTCACCACTGCATGCATGCTGACCTCTACATTAAACTGCTGATCTCTGCACTGCATACATACTGGCCTCCGACCTCTACATTACACCGCCGGCCTCTGCAC